TACAAACGAGCGCGTCTACGTCTGCCGTGGCCGAACTGATGGTGGAATTTTCATTGGCACCCTGTATCTGGCGCAAAGGGCTTGCTTCATTCGCTACGAGAATTTGCCCATGAGACAGCTGAGCAAATACGAAGTCCTTGTGCGAAAATATGCACCTCTAGCATGGGCACCATTCGAAGCACAAATCAATTGAATAATCAGCTATAATATTGCAAATGAAAACGCTTACTCCACAAGGAGCTGTAATTATTAAGTTGCTTTGAATAAAAACAAAATAATTGGAACTTGTAAATGTTAAAATTAAAGTAAAGTAAATTAAATATATATTTGTGTTATTCATCTAAATAAAGAAGTATAATTACTAACACTTTGCTAGTCGATGAGAAGTGAGTAACTGTAACTATAGTGCAATAACTTATAGGTAGTTTAGGTAAATATTTTTATTAAATTAAGCTCTCATTGTTAGTTGGCAATTTAAGTTTGAAGACGAATATTTAAAACTCATCTATGATTACATCCCCAATGTCAACATTTGTCAACAATTGGCTATATTGAATCAATGTAAATCTGTAATCAAACTGAACAGGATTCATTCACCTGTCTACATTTTACATTCCCATTCAACTGAATAGATCACACAATACTCGAAGCAATACGCACAAATCTCTAATTTATGACAGCTTAAAATGTTAAATTCAAATGGCATGGTAATTATATTTTGATCTACAGCGAGATCAAATTATGAAGACATAATTATGAACCACTAAGGGTTAATATAGAAAGAAATAGAGGGCAGTTAACATGCCCTCCCTCATCTGGGGTTACGCATTAATATTGGTTTGTCAAAACCGTTGGCCGTAAGAAACTCGAACCAGCAGCATTTGCAACAAGCTGCCCCCTCTTACGTGCGCTGCTCATGCTTGCCACAGAGACCACATGCAATATACAATATGCCAAAAGGCAGGCAGCAGGCGGCAAGTGGCAGACGGCAGGGCAAGCTGAAATGCAACACCGCCTGGCAATCAACTGGTGTTTCAGTTGCCATTAAGCCAGCGCCACACTTAACTCTCCCACACACACACACAAACGCACCTGCCAACGTCTCGAGTTTAGCGCCAGCCGCAGCCATTGAGAAACCAACAATGGACTAACGGACTAACGCCACAGAATTTGCCTTCATAGAATTTGCCGCGCAAAGCGCAAAACAAAAATATCCCAAAACAAATGGAAAATGTCGGAGAGAGTTAGAGAGAGAGCTGGAAGCCATGCTCACTGGAAGGCATGGAATGCTCGCACCCCTCACAGCTGTGACGTCATTTGGGATATTTCTTTACTACCCCTGTTAAGTGAAGGAGAACTGGCTGTTACATGTGCCATAGAGAGACACACACACAGACACACGCATACACATATACCTTGACTTAATTGCCATCTGACATTTATTGCTGCCCAGCGTGTCGTTCGGGGCAGCGCAGTCCTCACACAGACAGCCAATGCTCGCGCATTTATCACAGCTTGACAAAATGGTGAGTTGATAGTCCAGACATTGATAGCAAGCACCAAAGAAATCTGTCCCGATAACTTTGCCGCTCAATTTCAGTGAAAGCGAAACGAGTTCTGACAACGACACTGAAGTGTGTTTAGAGGATGGGCAAGGCTCGTTGCACAGGTCAAGCAGACAAGCCGGAGACAACCAAAAGCTATTGCCGAACAGAAATCAAAGCAATTTGTAGATTTTAAAATTTATTTCAAAACGTTTCAATAGCAGAATTTTGTTAAACTAGAGCGAACTTTAATGGTAAATGGCTTTAAAATAAAATCAAATGTTAATTTACTTATTAAATAGAAAATCGGCTGAAATGCAGATAAAGACATTAAAAGTACTTTCAATAAATACAAATAATAGTAACTATAAAAGAAAATTTTTGCTAATTAATTATTATATTTAT